ATTTGACTTCCCTCAGAAGCAGATGGTACAATAGATTAGATACTGTTGAAAATGAAACTTATTATGGGAAATTTTTTAAAAGTGAAAGAAGAACGAAATTAAAGCAACACCCCCAGCAGAAGCCGTGTTGAGGAGTCTATTCCGTGGCACAGATATGCCGTTGTCGCGAATCCAAAGTGCGCGACAATGGTGCTAGGGTCTCACAAAGTCAGCATTTGGCGACTAATCTTAGCATTTGGACGAGTTACGTCGCGCACACCCAACACGCAACGTGGATTACGGCGTAGCGGCTAATTCAAATACGCGCGGGTTAGTTGAGCCGTGGAGCAGGCAGGCTCGTACAACTCGTCCAGCCCCGCCCCTTCCCTTTTGGACAAGCCTATCCGCTCTCTCCTGCCACAGGCGGGAACTGCTAACCAACAACAGAGAACGCGACTGACTCCTCGAGTATGATATTGCTAGGACGCTGAGAGCGCGCCCTTCGAAGCGAAAACCCACGTCACTTCACTTTATGGGTCGAGCCTCCCTTTGGTATGGACACCTTCCATTTCTCAGGTTTGAATTATTAATTTGTGCTTTGTACACTTAAGTGCGAGGTTTGTGCTGTTGTCACATTGCTCATGTTTTGGGAACAAGTTTCGATCTCAAACGGTCTTTCCATTTTTCTCAACTTGTTCTCGTATGTCGTATTTAAGGACTCATCGGAGGACTACTGCTCATTCACTAGTTCCATTTTTTCAACCATTTTGATAGCACCATAAAGGACAACGCTGCAAGCAAAAGCATATTCAGTTCGCACGACGAGATTTATGTATAAAAGCTGCATTAATTTTTAAATTACCTAATATTTAGAATATTCAAGGTCACGTTGCTCCGCGCCTCGGCAGAAAACCGAGACCCATAGATCAATCCCCACACTGAAACCTGTCTAGCTTTGATGAAATAATGTTTTCGAAAGTGTTTATCCAGGAATCACATTCACCATTGGCTTCAACATAGTTCCAATATGCAATATTGAAAACGGTCTGGAGATTCAAAAGGTGATTCCTTCACAGGCTTCCAGGCTTCACTTCCAGAAATTTTAAATCTCCAATGAGAAGGTTTCCGGGTTTGATGGCTTTCTTTAACCTTACGAAGAAGGTCTTTCAGAAAATGCCCAGCTTTTTCAGAACCGTTTTTTGTATGATATAGGGGTACTTGCATGGAACACAGAACTGCGATTCATTTTTCCTCTAAATGCTAAAAAATCTTTTTTTGGTGAAGTGGTCCGTGGTTCGGATCCTCGCAGTGACAATTTTTTTGCATTTTGTGTTGGCGTTTCAAAATTCGCGAAAAATAGCGTCAGCGGAAACAACTTATGTCATATCTATAATTAGGACCATCAGCAACCTTTATACGTAGACTTTCGGTGAAGAAACTGGTGAAGAAAAATATGAACGACAGTTTGTGGTATTCTTGGAGTAGTTTTGAAGCCACAAGCCAAGATGTTCCAGGCTCTGACGAAGGCGACCAAGCCGAAACGTTAGCCGAATAAAGATCTGTAACATCTTGGCTTGTGGCTTCAAAACTACTCCAAGAATACCACACACGATGCCAAGATTCATCGAACGTCGAACCTATGTGCTATTGAACGACAGTTCCTCTAGAAATCTTTCTCTGCTTGTTTTTTGGTATTCATATGGTCGCTTAGGAAAAATCAACCACGGTTCTGTGTTCCATGCAAGTACATACCACTGCATCG